TTTTTTTTTTTTTTGATTGGTAAGTAGCAGACATCACCAGCCGTCTGAATGATGTGTGCTAGCAGTCAAGACTCATCATTCTAATCTCAAAAGATGGAACCAGAAGGGCCATTTTGGAACCAGAAGGGCCATTTTGGAACCAGAAGGGCCATATTGGAACCAGAGAGGGGCATTTTGGAACCAGAAGGGCCATTTTGGAACCAGAAGGACCATATTGGAACCGGAAGGGCCATTTTGGAACGGGGAGGGCCATTTTGGATCTCTGTGTTGTGATGAGAATGATGGGTTAGGGTTAGGGTTAGGGCAATGTACTCTTGAGGGTTAGGGGTTAAGGTCGTCCATGGCTTTTTTGGACTCTAAAAGGGTTGGGGCTTTGTCTTCTGTGCATGCTGTTATGGATATCTCTGGCCATCTCTCTCTTCTATGGACACGTTAGGGTTAGGGTTAGGGTTAGGGTTAGGGTCAAATGGTTAGGGTTAGGGTTAGGGTCATCTATGTGTTTCCTGGACCTTCTGGGGATAGGTATTGTCACCTATGTCTTTTGTAGACTCTTCAGGGTTCGGTAGGGTCCTCTGTATGTGTTTTCTGGACTTTCTTCAGGGTTAGGGCTAGGTTCATGGATGTCTTTTCTGGACTCTTCGGGGTGAGGGTTAGGGTCATCTATGTCTTTTCTTCTGGACTCTTCAGGGTGAGGGTTAGATAGGGTTATCTCTGTCTTTTTTTGTTAGGGTCAGGGTCATTTATGTGTTTTCTGGACTCTTCAGTGGTTAGGTGGACTCTTCAGGGTTTGGGTTAGGGTTAGGGTCTTCTTATGTCTTTTTCCTGGACTCTTCAGCGTTAGGTAGGGTCATCTGTGTCTTTTCTGCACCCTTTAGGCCTAGGTACGGTCATCTGTGTCTTTTCTAGACTCTTCAGGGTTATGTCGAGGCATCTCTGTCCTTTCTGGACTCTTCAGGTTAGCGGTTCGGCTCATCTATCTGGACTTTTTCCAGAGTAAGGGTTAGTGTTAGCGTCATCTCTGTGTTTTCTGGGCTTTTCAGGGTTAGGGTTAGCGGTTTGGCTCATCTATCTCGACTCTCTTTCCAGAGTTAGGCTTAGGGTTAGGCTCATCTCTGTCTTTTCTGGCCTTTTCTGGGTTAGGGTTAGGGCCCTCTCTGTATGTCTTTTCTAGACTCTTCAGTCGTCGAGCACTGACGAGATAAACTACCGTCTTCACCCGAATAGAACGCTCGGTCATTATAGCTTCATTTGGCCCAACTTTCAGTCCAGATGCAGTGATAATGACCGGGCGTTCTATTCGGGTGAAGACAGTAGGGTCCATCTATTCGACCAATGGATGCCCCCTTCTTTATCAGGAAAATATTCACAACAATTGCAAAAAAAAGTTAAAAAAACTTTTTAAAAGTCGTTTCTGGGCAATTTGTGGTCTCAGTCAGATAACGAACGTCATTTACGTTTTTTTTTTCCACGTATTCTCTGTACTTTCTGCCAATTCAGTGTGCAATAATCCTGGTCATATTGACGTATACATAATTCAGTGTGCACTGCACTGAGCAGCTAAAACTGCATAACAGAAACTTGAGAGAAAAAGTTCAGTGCGCAGGTGGTGTACACTGGGCAGTGTGTAACACCCACTCCAGGGAAGGAATCATCACCACACTGAAGATGATTCCTTCTCTGGGGTGGTTGTGACACAATGTACAGTGTGTACACCACCTGCTCAACTGAACCACAAGCCCCTAACCATAGATAACAAACTGAAGCACAGGTTCCTAACCATAGGCAAAAGAGAGAGAGGACAGAATGGAAGGAAAGGCACACACAGGGGCAATCACCTCTGAGCTGCAGAACTGTAGTCGGGCTGCTAAGGGTATGGTTAGGGGGGCTTGTGCTTTCAGTTTGTCATCCATTCGAGTTGACCTCATTTGGTTTATCTTAACCTTACCCTTTAAGGGTATACTAAAAATAGGATTTTTTTGGACGTCTCTCT